ATCGTCTTCCACAGGCGATGCAAAACTGACGATATATCACGATATATAATTTCTAATATCGCCCAGTCCTAATCATAATATTTATTCATTATTATCATTTATTCATTTTTAGCTTGCTGCAACACAATGATTGAGATTATTTTATGACAGAGAGTTTCGTCAGAAAGATATAATAAATCCAAAAGATACTCATCAACTATTCAATAACTAAATAGCAGACACTTTTCATTTTGAACCAGAAAAGCAACGGATGGAGAAATCTACAAAAACTCTGCTTAAAATCTTGATCTCATTCGTTCATTTGCAGTTTTCCACTGTTAAATATTTTTGACCATAAGGTTTCGGAATTCTATAGAAATTTCTGAAATCCTCAAATTACAATGGCAATTGGTAAATAAAACGAAAATAATCTTATAAGTTATACTCTTAGGAAGACCTTAGGTTAATTAATATTTTTTAATTAATTTTTTCCCCCACTATTTTGTATTAATTTAGGGCAAAAACTGAAAATTATTATATTTAGCATTTTAATAATGTATGTTACCCACAGGCCTGTGTAGGGGGTAGGGAACTGTCCTTGCATAGAAAGGTCCTGGGTTCGAATCCCGGGCAAGGCATGGATGTTTCGTTCTCTCTCTCTGTGTTCTATGTCCTTTTTCTTTTGTGTGTGAATGTGACCCGCCCTATAAACGGGTTATGGTTGTGTGAATGGCGTTTCAGAAGTCGAATTCCTGGCCATAGATGGCGCCACTGAAAAACAGGAACAATCGCACCCCCACTGCCTAAACAGGCATACGACAAAAAAAAATGTATGTTTATGAAATATGGCATGAAACACCAATGTCTATTTCTGCGTTAAAAATAAGTCTTTCAAAGAATAGTTTTTCAAAATTGTAACTATTTGCAGTTATTTAGATCTAGATTATTCAACAGACATTTATCATTGAAATTTCTTTAATTTGCAAAATCAATTATTAATACATTTTTGAATATGGATGGAAAAAAAATTATTCAGAATGCTTTTTTTTTTTATTTTAAATTTTTGTATAAATATAATTCCGATAATTTAATAGATTTCTTTAGCAACTATTAGATTGTTTTTATAATTAAAAAATAGCAAAATCTATTTTTGCTTGTAGTTAGAGCGTCAGAAAAAATATTTGTAAAAAGGAACACCGGTGTCCATTTGCGTCAAAGAGTTAAGGCTTTGGGCTAATAATGTAGGGGATACAAGATTAATAAAATTTGCATTCTAAGAAGGATTAGAAGACTAATTTATGCTGAGGACTAATAAAATGCTTTAATTTCTGCTTTCTACTTGCTTAAAAAAAATATTAAAAAAGACGAAAT